TTTTAATACTAGTATATTATTTGAAGTTGGGCAAGGATAGCTTGTACAGGTTACAGGAAATAAAAAAGGCAATTCACGTTTTTACTGGAAATTAAATTAAAGTTCTATTCACAGTAGAAAATATTTTTTGACACTTTACAGATAAAGCAAATCCGATTTTACATTTTTATAATATATTTGATAATTTGCGTTTGGGAATCAAAATGGGAAATTGCGTGTTATGGAGAAATAACACATAAAATCTTCAGTCAGAGGCAGTCAGAGAGAGGCTTATCCCCTCAAGATTACGACGTATTTGACATTTCGCCAGGGCCCCGGATTAATTTTTCATAAAGATTTGCTTGACTAAACTGGATTTCAATTGACGGTTTCTTTGAGAGACCCAGACATAATCCTGCAACCGTATTTTTCCATGTTATTTAATGTACGACATCAGTATATAGCATATATATGCTTTCAGTGTCCACATTTCGGCGATGGCCATTACAAATTGATGCTTATGACACAGGACATGTTTCATTAAAAATAAAACTCGAACATAGATACAGCTATTGTCTCTTTAATTTTACAAAATTAGGAGCTGCACTTACCGGTACATGTAGATTAAGAATTTTTTTTGCGAAAATTGACAAGCACAAAATAAAAACAAAAAAATTGTATCCAAGCTACCGTTAGTTTTCCTCCAAGTCAACAGTCAAATAAAAACTATTCAGTTAGGTTGTCAATTTTCTGACACAATTCAAAGTCATTGTACTGTATGAATTATTCTCTGGAATAGCTGCAATGATGCTTATGATGCTTATAGTTAACTATGGTTATGTGCTGATTCCCAAGTGGATTTGTTCATGTGTCTGTTGTTATGCTGCCTGACCATGTGGTCTTAGTGTTTCATCCACAAATCCTGAGATTCCTTGAGGATATTCATTGCATTGATATCATGCATGTTCTCTTTTTCATTTCAGTCTCCATTATGCAAGTCTTTTTTAGCTGGTTCAGTTAGCGGCACCTGTTCCACAGTTATATTTCAACCTCTGGATTTATTGAAAACTAAACTACAAGCACCAATAAGCATTGGGCATCATGGCAATACAGGGATGGTTCAGACCTTCATCAAGGTTGTACGCAATGAGAGAATAGCTGGATTATGGCGGGGCATGGTTCCAGTGAGTAGACATGGAAGGTTTTTAAAAATTCATCAGAAACAAACTTTTGAATATTTTCTGAAAAATTTGCCATTGTTAAACATTGTCATGTTCAGGCAGACGGGCAATTTTGCTTGCGAGATAGAGAGGCAGCTTTTCGTTTTATTTTCATTCCCTGAACACTTCTTCTCTTTTAAATTCCATGTTCCTCTTTACCAGATAATCCTATAAGTATAAATATCTGTTCCATTATTTCTATAATTTGGATGCTTTTGGTTCATATTTAGTCTTATTTTTTTCAGTCGATAACTCGATGTGTGCCAGGTGTTGGGATGTATTTTTGCACACTTCAGTGGATGAAAAATGCAACCGGGTGAGTTTAATTTCCACTTTGATTATACATAGAATATGCAAAATGAGAAAGTACACTGTTAATTATTGCTGCCAGAGAGTTTGTAGCCTGACACAGTTCTCACCAACAGACTCGCATACAAAAATAGAATACTTCAGATTGTGTTGGCAGATCACAGTGATAACACTGTATCCTCTATTTTAAGAAGTAAATGAATATTCATGATATCCAAAACAGCTCAGCGAATCACTGATTAGAGCATTTGAAGTGTGATACCCATGCTGTAAATAGATTTTAGATAGCTAAAGTAAATAACATTTCCATCATGATGCATTTTATTCGGCTAGTAGCAAATCAATCAATTGTTTATTGTGTTTTTATATTGCTTAATTTCAAACTTTGTTTTCAGTAATGAAATGTTTTTATTTTTTATTTTTACAATATACTGTATTTTACCATTATATTCAAAAGGAATTTGGTCTGAATACCTTTAATATGGCAAATGAAAACAATCAACATAAACACAGTCATAACTTCATGTAAAATGTGTGGAGTGCTATATATAAAATTAAAATTATTACATGATCTGATTGTTTTCAGGTTTATTGAGCCATCACCTTTGCAGGCAGTGTGTTTAGGTGCAGCATCAAGATGTGTTTCGGGTCTCACCATGCTACCAGTAACTGTAGTTAAAACAAGATTTGAAGTGAGTCAGTGTTTTGTATGGGGAAAATGGGAAATCCACATTACAATATTATTTTATTATGATATACATAACATGCATATCTCCAGTGTTATGAATACAAGAAAATACATGTCACATTATTTGACGTCCATACTTGTTGTTGAGCACGCTACTTGAAAGTTGTCTGAAGCTTTCTGGTTCGTGAATTGTCCAAAACTATGGATTGTGGTGAATATATGCTAATGTTGTTATGTTCAAAATTATGATTCAGTTGTTTCACTTTCGAATAAAATTGACACCGAGGCGTGAGCGTGAGATATAGCTCTATCGTGTCAACAATATTGGGCATACAGGGCATGTGCAATGATACAATGTATTTTTAGATTCAGGATTATTTCGGACAGTGGAAATATGCATGTTCATATTAGCAGATATTCATAATTACTGCCAAAGTAGTATCAGTCCGACCGAGCCTATGGCTTGGGTCGATTAAAAACAAAATCTTTAGTGTCTGTTGATGTCAATTTAGGAGCAAATATCTTGTTACATACTTATCACATCTTTAGAGCTTCATTGTGGTAATGGGAGTATTATGTGAAATGTGTGGTTTTCTGAATATGCATGAACTCGTCAATGACAGGGAAATAGTCATTAATTCGGTGGATTTGTATTGAATTAAATTGAGACAGAAGCTAATTTTTGTGAATCTATATACATCAGAACACTATTGAAGTGTGTTAGAAAATGAAATTCAAACTCACAATCAATAGAGATCTAAAATGATCTTTAGCATTTTCAAACACATTGAAAGTTATTTTCCACAAAATGCAAATACAAAACATCAATTAATTCACGTGATAGTTAAAAGACCCCAAAATCTGTTGAATGATTGTAACCGTAATGATGATTTTTAACCTGTGATTCAGTGTGTCTTATACTAATTATTTTTTTTTCTTGCTTCACTAGAGTGGTCGATTTCATTATAGAGGAGTTATCCAGGCTTTAAAAAACATTTATTTACATGAAGGCGCAAAAGGTATGAATTCACTGATCCTGACCATTAGCGTGTACCTCATTGTTTAGTCCCCGTTCGGACGTAGTCCGAAAACGGGGACTTATGGTTTGCCCTGTGTGCGTCCGTCCGTCCGTGCGTCCGTGCATCCGTGCGTCCGTGCGTCCGTGATCACCTGTATCTCGAACATGCATGGACCGATTAAGTTCAAACTTCACTCATACATCACACATTATATGGGACATATGCACATGCATTTTTTTCATGATCCGATTAACGATAGCCGAATAGCGGCCATTTTAAGGCCGAAAATGCATCAAAATCGCACATTTTCACCATTCCGGACCCGGATCTCAGTTATGCATGGACAGATTTTGTTTAAATTTGGTACATACATTAAACATAATAGGACCTTGATGCACGTCTTTTTTTTTTTTGGATCGGGTTCGAAATAGCCGACTGGCGGCCATTTTGTTTTAAAGAATTCAGTTCTGGGGATCTGTATCTGAGACATGCTTGGATTGATCGAGTTCAAACT